GGGGCCCCCCCGCCTCTCGCTGGCCGGGGCGTTACGGACAGCTCTTCCCCGCGGTCCTAACAGAGCCTCCTCCTCATGCACTAAGAGTTTTAATCCACAGGTCATTAATTCAGTAGAAAAAGTGACAGCCCCTGGTTCATATGAAAATTTACTATCAAGACGTTATCTCAAGTTGTCCTTGACGTTTTTAGATCCTTACTTCCTTGCCTCTTCTAACGCAGCATATTTTTAAAAGAAAGTTTATTTTCTTTGCCTTCAAAACACTGTGGAACTCCAACTTCCCGTGCTTACGGGCTGTTTCTTCTTGCTGTCACAACCTGTCTCCAGCACCCGCACTGAAATATTAATAGCCTTGTGCAACAGTATTAAGATGATTTTTTTTTTTTCTAATAGGAAATATCTGTGATTCTATTACTAGTTTATAAAGGCTTTGCTATTTTAAAGTAGTAGATATTTAACACTATCATGTTACCCAACTTGTCCCGCAGAAGACAGTAGTGCGTGCATTTTGCAAGAAACACAAATATTCTCTTTCCTAGGAGCTGTGTGAAAACGTAGTATGCAGCTACAGATTCTTGACACAATGTAGTTTTTTTTTTTTTGCATAAAGAACTGATTATAAAAGACTACAAATATCCCAAGAAATATTTGGAACATTGTTTTGGTTCTAAACCTTTTGATACTGCTTCATTATTCTTAGAGAGGTTGCTCATTTTTAGGAATTCTCAAATCCAGAGAAAAATGTTAAAAATGAAAATTTCCTGTAATGCGTCTGTCGTTTTTGTGAAGAACAGGGAGATTTTATGCAGATGTACACATCTGCAGTTTGCTGTACTGGTCATTTTGTATTTGTTCAAAATCCTCTTGCTTCTATCTGTGGTTTAATTTATGTAAAAGGCCAGGCTAGGAGCGCTGAAGTTCCCTTGCACGACTACGTACAATATCAGCACGTATGTTGTATCTGGCAGCACAGCCACGTCCGTGCTGGGGACATAGGTAAGCAGCAGAAAACTGCTACCTCTTCGCAGAGAGAAGAGGAGATACAACTGGAGAAAGACTGTTGAAGTTGAAACTGTTAAGTTTTGTTTTATTTTTTTTTTTAATCACTTCTGCACTTGCAACTCCTCCCCGCTCTAGTGTTTCCCGCTCTCAGACACTACCTGTCTGACGGTGCCCAGCGAGGGGGGAGAGACGCGGAGAAGAGAGGTGAGAGCCACGGCCTGGGATGCAGCAGCGCAGCCGTGCTGCCCGTCTGCCTGGCCCCGGGGACAAAGGGCTGGAGAGGGATTTCCACCCTGCCCCGACTCACGAGCCAGCAGCAGTAATGGAGGTTTCTGATGGTTTTCTGAAAGATGCTTCACTTAACGTGACACCAGATCAAACTGTTTAAATGTGACCTTCCTTTAGCACACTGCTGTGAGTTAGCGCCTGTGTAAGCCAGACACAATGTACGCTTTAGGCTCAATCTCAACTTTTTTTCTGTTTTCAGGTTTCAGCCGAGCAGCGCTACCGTTTGGGTTGGTGAGGAGGGAGCTGTCCTGCGAAGGCTACTCCATTGACCTGCGGTGTCCGGGAAGCGATGTTATTATGATAGAAAGTGCTAACTATGGACGGACAGACGACAAGATTTGTGATGCTGACCCTTTCCAGATGGAGAACACAGAATGCTTCCTTCCAGATGCCTACAAAATTATGACACAAAGGTAAAGATATGTATGTCTCTTTGAAGACTAAAGAGGAAAAAATGTCTGAATTGATACAGTAAGAGGTATATAGTTTAGAAAATGTTATGATATGTGTGCCAATTTGCATTTTGTCTTACTAAATAGCTATTCAGATAGTGTTATATTTTTATATAGCAATATTAGGAGGAAGTAAGAGCTACCAGTTGCTATTAGAGGGTTTTTTAAAATTCTGAGTGCAAAAGAAAAAAAGTAGGAAGACAACTGCAAAGAGAATGGAACAGTTCACTTGCTTGGCGAGTCCCTGAATCGCTGCCTTTTAGGAGGTCAGACAGCACTCAAAGTATTCAAATGTCTGCTGCATTTTTTAGTAGTTTCTACATGCCCTGGCAGAGTTAGAGGTTTTCTATGAAAGTAGTTAATAAATGCCTTCCCACCTGCAAAATGCATCAAACAAAAACTTCCAGTAACTATATATGTCATTTAGATGTTTGGCTGGTTATATATCATTATACATGGGCGTGCATATGCATTTATGCAGACAAGCAGACATTACATTATATCTTACTAACAGTGATTGTATTACTCATAGAGTATGGAGGGAGAGCCAGTAAAAGTGTTTCTAGCACAAAAGCGTCACCAAAGCTGCATCAGAACTAAGATTCATAGACGTTCTTGCGCAATAGGCCTAATACTGGTAACAGTCAGCTAGTACTAACCGTTGTGGAAATGTCAGCACAGATCAGTCCTTGGCATTTTTACCGGCATAAAATACAAGCCTGCTCAAAGACTGTAAGTGTGTAGGAAATGCACAATTTAGCTTTTTTCTTCTGTAAAATTCAAAAACCTGAGAAATTTCTTTCCTCACTGCACATAAGTTCAGCCAAAATAATGAAAAAGTTCAGGACTGCTGGAAGCTTTTCCTCTAATTCAGGTTTGATAGGGTGAGGAATCTGAGGGGGGGAAAAAAAGGCAAAAGAATAACCTGGGGACTCTCCAATGCATGCATTTATAGAATCAAGCAAACAAGTCTTGTGTGCTTTGTTCCACTTACTTAATATATTTTCTTTAAACATAGTAGAATGTAGTAACACATAACCGTATCTTAAAAATAATATTCCCTTTGATTTCTCAATTCACTTCAAGTTGTCATTAGTGTGACTATTACAATTTTTAAATAATTTTCATGTCAATAGATGGAACATCCTCTAGTTCTATAATCGAATACTTGCAACAGAAATCTGTCTTCAATTTCTAACGCAAGAGGAAAATTAAGGCTATCAGGCCTCTTTTTCTTGTTCTGTGTTCGACCTGTGACTGTTCTGTGATCAGTAATGGAAGGGCTCCATTGCTAAGGTAGTGAAAAGGTTATATACCTTCTTTAAATCATGTTTGAGTTATCTTTTTGTGGTTCTAGTTTGTTGTTGTTAATTAGATCAAGCCAGATTTCCATTGAGACTGCAGCGGCAGTGTCATCATCCTCTAATCTGTCAAGTCCCTTTGAAACCACCTTCAATTGCTTTTGTGAATGTAGTGCCTCTCTGTAGACTTCCTTGTTGTGTAAAACGCGTGTTGTGTTTTGATCAAAGTCCTCCTTATGTTCACTGCAAATACACAGATTAAGGTAGTCAGAAACAAATACAGAAGCACAATCTTACTTAAAGTGACATCAAACTGTTACCGGAAAGCTGAAATTTCAATCCTCCCCTTTCAATTAATCGATTGTAAGTTTATGATAGCAGAGGGTATTTTTGAACTTCCCTGATCTTCCAGTCTTACCTTTTTTCAGTAGATTAAAATGATGTGATCGTGTGTAGGTTGTTGGTTCAGAATATTTACGCTCAGGGAGAGTTTATCATTTTCATTCTGTCTGAACAAAAAACGAAGATCTTTTGACACATTGCTTCATATTTTTGCCTGGCATCTATAATATTTTGGAAGTTTGGTTTCATAGTTTTCTTTTTCAGACGGTGCAATTAAATGGAAATGCTGTTTCCTCTGCCTCATTTAATATTTTCTGAAAGTTGCTCAGTTTGTGCTGTACAGCAAGTGTAGAAGAATGTTGCAAATTTCTTATGAAATATTAAATTTCCTTGTGTTTCATTTATTTGTAACTGCATTGGTCTTTGAAATTTTTGTTGTCAAAGGTAAACCGTTGCTTGATACTCAGTGCATGTCCTTGATCTGTTATTTAAAAGTATCATATCAGCTGTATTTTGGTGGTAGCAATTGCATAGGAAATATCTCACCTGAAGGACTATCAGATTCACTGGTTTTCTCACTGACTAGAAGGCAATAATTCATCTGCTCGAATGTTTGATCACAACAAAAACTTATTTCTATGCTTTTTGAAATAAGCATCTGTAGTTTCTGCATTGCTACTTAACATCTTACAGCATTTATTTTTAAGGATTAATGACCTGTTTTTATCACTCCAGCTAGTTTTTACCACTGCTTTTGACCACTCATTTCAGTTTTAGGCTTGTAGTTAAATGTAGTTACATGGTAAATATTATATACTCACCAGTCATTTGCAACATTACTTCACACCTTTTTTGCAGCAACTACATTTACTGTAGTAGAGTGTAAAGACAACCCTGAAACTTGAGTATTGAAAAATCAGATAAACTTTCCAGTTTAACACCAAACCATGTAATCACATGGCCTGCTCCCCTTTGAGAGAATTTTAGATTCTAGCAAAAAACTTTGCCTGTGTCCACTGATACCCCAGCTCCTTTATCAGAAGGACCTGCTACGCAGTCTTCCCTCCTTCCCTTTTTCTTTCTTCTCTACAGTTCTCAAAAGATGTTTGACTTCATATTTTCCTAGGAAGCCTAACTTGAACACTAATGACTTCGTTGCTTTGCCTTCACCTTTTTAAAGCAGTTATTAAATTTTTAGTCCCTGGTTGAAATTACATCCCAATTATTCTAGAATAAAGTCTATCACATGTATTTAGATTCCATGTAAACTTCAGGGTGGCAGAGTTAAAATTAAAGCTTTGAAGAAAGAGGCTAAGGAAAGACCTTTAAAAAAATCCCTTTCCCCTTTCCCACTGATAATTAACCCTGGTATTTGCATACACTCAACTTTGAGAAATCCTACCATGAGCTAGGGTTGAGTATAGAAAGTAAGACTATTTCTAAAATAATTGTTGGTGAGGCAGTAGTGTGAGTGGCAGAGGATCCAGGTTTCCTGCAGTTAGATTTGCTTAAAGTAACCCAACTACTTGGTATTTTGCTATCCTTTACAGGGGAGAAATCTACTCTTTTTTCCTCTAGCCATTTTTTGGCCATTTCATTTAAAAAAGAAATTAAATGAACAGGAAAGCACAAAATGCAAAGGAGCCTGAGGTGGTAACTCTGGTTTCTTGCTCATAAAGTGTTGTGTGGTTGGCTGGAAACTGTCAGGAGACTTTGAAGTTGATATGGCTAACTAATGCTGCTCTTTATAGACACAGTGGGAATTTGAAAACTAACATGAAAAAATATACTTACAACCTAGTCTTTGGTCTGCTTCCACTGTAAGGAGATTGAAGGTGGTTTGCCTGAGTTATTTTCAAATCGCCTGTGCGTTTATGAAGACTTTCTACCTCCAGTGTCAACTTCAAACCCAGCTCTGCAGACTCGGAAAGACTGCAAATGGTCCATAGTTTTTTTTTTTTTTGAGATAGGCACTGAGGATTTCAGGGATATCACATGCTACTTGGGTTTCTGTTTTATTAGCTGGAAATAATAAAAGGTATTTAATAGTACTTGTAAATACATGAACATACCTTTGAAATGATAAGGCATATCATGTATGTAATTTTATAATGTAACAAGGAGCTGCTAAGAAGCTCTTTTGCGTGCTAGGACCTTTATCCTCTGAATTTAAGAAAATGCATTTTTAGTAGAGTTATTTTTCCTAATCCTAAACTTTTCATTTGCAATTACTTTAAAAATCAGATGCAGTAACTATCTTTGTGATTCCAGTCCAATGCAGGTAGATGACGTTTTTGGCGTATGTATTTAAAGAAATACTTGGATGATCTGGCAGATAGTGTAATTTTGAATTTTGAGAAGCCCATTATTAAAAACTTTTCAGATCCATTCCGGTTTGTACACCTTAATTTTTTTTGAATCATTTAACCATTATAGCTATTGATGGGACTCATAGGAAATTAACTTTTTGTATTTAAAGAAAATCTGTCCTTTTAACTCTGAATTTTGTGGGAAAATTTACCTAGAGGCAAAATTCAAACATTTGATGTTGAAAACCAAATCAATGATAATTTCACAAAGCAAACATTATTTCCCTGCTAATAAAGGCTAAAATATTTTGGATTTTTAAAGAGGAATTTGTGAGCTGTAGTATGACACTGAGAGCATAGTTTTGGTAATTGAAAACTTCAGAATGTTTAAAACTGGAAGCTTTGCAGACCATGCAAACATCCAAATTAAAAAATATAATCTCATAGGATATTCACATTATTTTTGATCAACAGTAGAAAGGAGTTTACATCAATCCTGCACTGTGGAATGGCCATGAAGTTCTATTTTCATCTACAATTTAACTATCATAGTAAGTTTATATTTAACTATCATAGTAACTTTAACTATCATAGTAACTTTAGCACTAACTCATATAGAGTTTGTGCTATTCTCTTTTTTTAAATATGTGGAATCAAAGCAAAACTCATTATAACACATAATACTTCTGTATTATATGAGTATTACAATACATAGGGTATAATAGATGAACTTAGGGAACTTTAATTCTTTGAAATACCCTTGCCTTTTAAAATGTTGCTACCAAAAAGTCAAAGGTTTAAAATATAGTAATAAATCCTTTTCAGCAGCCACTTTTTGTCTGCTGCACGTATCCTGTCCGATGTATAGCATGTGCAACACGTGTAACCTCAATTACCATGTCCGTCATGACAGCCGTGAAGAGTTCATGCTTACGTTTTTATCATCATGAACTTTTCTCTCATGGTAATACTCTTAACCTGTTACGTCCGTCATCTGTCTGCAAGACAG